GAAAATCAAAAGAATCCTTGCTCCTGAGTACTGCAGATGATTATTTTATCCAAAAAACACTTCCAAATTGATAAATATATTGGATTTAATCGACCATCATGCACCGTGGCGTCACAGAAAATTGTCGCGCTGACATCATCGTGTAAAATATATACTGAGCGGTAATTTAACTAAATATCAGTATATAAATGGTCCATAATGAAAATTCAGAACAATTTTCTATTGTAGACACTAATAATTGAGAGGATTTTGTAGATGAAGATGGATAACGACAGGAGGAGAAAATTTCTAAACATGGCGTCCACAAAAATGGGGCCTATTGCGTGAAGTTAGTTGCTACTGCGACGGCGTCACTAGTACCAACCTAGTTAAATGAAATTCTGAACAGTGGCGTCGGCAATGGCAATTTCACGTCAAAAAAAAACATTATTTGTTTTAAAAATAACTTCTTATTGTTAATAAAAAGTTATAAATATTTATGAGAATATAATATTTAAAGTAAATATTTAAAATTATAATTTTTATAGAAATTATAACTTCATTTTTATTTCATTAAAATGTAATTTTAAAAACTAAAATAAAAATGTAATTTTATAAATTACGGAAAATAAAATATAAGCAAATTCTGATTTCACTTATTGAAAAATAATAATTATTTAATCTTCCCTGATGAAAAATAAATTTTACCAAAAATTGAGAAAAACATACTTATCCCATGAGCGACATTTTGCACCTTTAATAATAACGCTAGAAAAAAAATGTCATACCTTTTTTATCTTCTCAAAATTGTCGAAAAATTGCCGTTCTCCTACTCGATGATCCGGTTGATGTTTTTTTGTTAGCAAAAACACTTCACTTTATTATTTAGAAAAATCTCTTTACTTCGCGTGTAAAGAAACACGTTGAATGCGTACTTTGAGTAGAACAAAATCACTGAAACAAAAATATTATTACAATGAGAATCGAGAAGAATGAAAATTGTAGACAAGTAATCTCAATTTTAATCTCAATTGCAATAATTATTTTTATAACAAACACGATTAATATTCAAGGAAAACTAAATAAATAATACGCCAACAACAATCGGTTAAGTTTCAACTTTTAACTCTACCGAGTGAAATGAATCGTCGTTGGCGATGTTACCCAGTAGTGGCAACAGCGCAAAAATTAAAGACTCTAGCATGGCGCGCAAATTCAAACATGCTTTTTGACAAATAGTTTCAGAAAGAGAAAAATAATCCTATTAAATATTATTAAAATTATAACTTATTATAAAAATAAATATCTAATAGTAGATATTGTAAATATTTAATAATATTATTATAACTAGCTAAAAATTATTAAGTAACAGCATTATAATTATTAACTAAATATTAAATTAATATTTAATTTAATTTAAATTATTTTTAACTAATTAATTAAATTAATATTTTTAATTCTAATTCTAATTATAAATATTAATAATTATAATTATTATAATATTAATTAATAATTATAATTATAATTATTATTTTATTAATTAATTAATTATAATTATGGATATGAATTAATAATTTAATTAATTTAATCAATTTAATTAAATACAAAATTAATTAAATAATAGTATTATAAATATTTAATAAAATAAATAAATTATAATACAATTATTATATGGATAATTCTTCTTAATTTTTCCACTGATATCAGGAACATAATAGGCATTATAAATAATAACTCGCATATCTAATATGCATTTTATTGTTGGCCAAGTATTTAGATGACAGAAATAAACAAGTGTGATCCTGTGTACGCCTGCGTTTTTTTTTTAAATGTCTTTGTAAATTTGTTTATTCCTGACTGTGTCTATGTAAATCTCTCTTTTGTTTTCACTTTCACTCTCACTTACTTTTCTTTTATCACACTCTTCCTATTTTTTTTTCTCTCGTTATTTTAATCATTTTTTTTTCTCTATTTTTAATACACACAATTCTTTTCTCTGTCCCATTAATTCGTCGCGAATTTTATCAGTGTGCGAGTGTGCGTGTTAGTTTGCGACTGACAAAAGTGGTTAGGTCGTAATTATATCATTTCGATCAAATATTGATCTAATTCAACTATAATTACTCTGTATAATCTACAATTAGACATATGCGATTTGTAAAGCTATTTCTTTTTTTTATTATTATTTTATTTTAACTATAGAAGCATTTTAGCGAAACATTCTCAGCCTTTCTCCTCAAATCCTCATATTCATTATTTATCATTGTTCATGAAGAAATCGATTTTTTTTATACATTAATAAAGAAGAATAATTAAAATTGTTACTCTTTAAAATTCAATTTCTTTAATTGCTTCAATCTATTATTTTTACTTGAAAAATATTTTCACTCGATTTTGTTTTACTTATTTTTGAATAAAAATCGAGAATTAAAATTTGAGACTTTTTTCAAAATTAAATCGGTGGGAAATATTACAATAATAATTATTATAACTAGTACAATAATAATTACTATTATATTACAATTATAATACTAATAATTCAAATTACAATCTTTTTTTTTATTTTCGTTATACGAAACGAATTCCTTTCGTTATTTTCTAGAATTTAATTAAATTCCAAAGTGTAACAATATTAAGACTTCTTTTTTATTTTTTCAATAATTCATTTGAAGAACACAACTTCAAAGATTGTTTTCGCCTTTGAATGTCTTTTTTTAAACATTATGCAGGAAAATCAATTTAACAAATCGAAACAAAACCCTTTCTTTATTTTCAATTAAAGAAATCTATTATTTTTACTTGAAAAATATTTTCACTCGATTTGTTGACTTTTTTTTGTGTTTACTTTTTTACAATTTGTACTTTTTATTGAATAATTGGAATGGTTTCAATTTATTATTTTGACCCCCCCTGCATTATGGCAAGTCGTGAATTACAATTTTTTTATAATAGGCAAAATACAATATTTTCTCTTTCCGTGGTTTTTTTTTTAATAATAAAATCGACTTATGTCTCTAAACATTTAGGTAGGAAAATAGAAACGAAAACTTATTCTATAATATTTTTATCTCTCATTTCCCTTTGACCTCCCCTTTTCTTGTATTAATTTTTTTTCAGACTTTTTTCTTTTTTTCTTTCTTTCTTTTGATTCGAACAATGGATAATTTGTTTCTTTCCATCCTCGTGATTCATTAACATTTATCGTACAACAATTGACCATGAATTCGGTCAACAGCAAATATTAGTAAAATATATATTTATATATTTATATTTTATATCAATTTTGAATCTATGAAAAATAATTTTTTTTTTCAATCTCTACTTTTTTTTAGGCTTTATGTATTTTTTTTACGACATTTTCGCCTCCCTATTTCCTCTCTTACACATAGTAAATTATTACGCGTAAGTTTATTAATACTATAAACATATTTCTATTTTTTTTCCGCCCTCTCCTTTCATTTTACATATTACAATATATTTTTTATTGTGTAACGAATTATTTGCGAGCGATTTTCAATACTGCAAAGTAAAAAATAAAAAAGAATTTGTAACTCGTAATTTGTGAAAAAATTTTATTGTCTTTGAATTTGGAGAATTTTTTTTTTCAAAAATTCTATTATAGTTTTGCTTTAGATCCTTAAAGACGAAATAAATATAAATAAAAGACTGTTTAAAAAAACCTTTACTTTTAGGAAAAATATTTTAAAAACTAAATAAAAAAAATTATTTAATTAAATTTAGAAAAGGAAATATTCTTTTTCGAAAAATTTCTCTTTTAGAAAAAAAAATTTTATGAAGAAATTTTCATATCACAGATTACAAGTCACTTTTCATAAAATCTATTTAATAGAATGTCTCAAGAGAAACAAATGAAAATTCTAATTAGACTAGAAAAAATTTATCGCTCGCTCTTGCTTAACAAGTTACACATATTTTTTTGTGACTTTTATTTTGCTTTTCGTTCTCTTTTCTTTTCTACTTTCTTTCCCTTCCTCTTTCTTTTTACTATCTTATTTTCTTTCTTTTTCCTTCTTTTTTCTTTCTTTTTTCTTACTTTTTTCTTTTCTTTTTCTTTCTTGTCTTATTCAATAGAAAGCTAATCTTAAATTGAAACTAGACTAGTGAGACAGAAGTAGCTTATCATTTTATCCTGACCAAATATAATCTCAACGAGATCAACTTTCTTCTAATTTCTATGCAAGACACCCTGTATTATTATCGAAACACGAGGCTGAACAAGAATCGTAATAGGCCATTCGTTTAATTAACAATTACAATTAAGTTATTCGAAAAAGACTTTTTTAAGGCCAATTTTTTCTCAAAGACAGGACACTTTGTTTCAAATTCAAATATAAGAGGGGAGGCGAGATAATACAATCAGCTTTTTTTATAATAATAATAATAATGTATCGAAACTGATTTTTTCGAAAGACAAATTTACATATTTACATAAATATATATAAGCCAATGAGAGTATATCTAGAAAGCACACCCTGGGCGAACGTACAATTTTTTGTTCTTTTAAATGGTAATACGACTATTTGCCTCTTTTTTGTCCTCTTTTTTTTTCTTTCCTTTAAGCTACATCACTCGTAAAGATTTTTTTTTTTTAAATGGAAAAATACTATTTGCATATATCATTTTATCATAATGATTTGATAATGCTTTTTTATATCGTATTGATTGAATTCTTATTTCTGATTTTCTTTATACCTATAATCTAACAGACTTCGCACGGACGAATAGTAAAAGTCAAAGGAAAAATGCTTTTTTAGTTTTCTAGTCACGTCTTCTTTTTTCTACACACAATTTGCATATTTATTAAAACAAAAAATACAAATGTGTGAAGAAAAATTCGGTGACTTCTATTTACAGAAGAAATTTCTATACTTATAAATATAAAACTGTTCATCTCTAAATACAATTTTGTAAATTTTTCCAATACAATATTGTTCAATATTATTCATTTTTTCCTTGCAACATTGAGTATTATAAAATTTTTGAACAGATTCGTTGTTAAATTTTTAATTACAATTTTGTTCCACTAAATTTTAACGAATGTCGATTTTTTGAAAATACTCTATTGTAATTAAATTATTATTTCGAAATAAATGCTTATTTTCGTATTGTAAAAATTGAAAAATACAAGTTTGTAAATTTCGAATTACAGTATTCTAAATAAAAGTATAGAAATTACTGAGCTTAATAAGTAACCACTAAGTACTCCTCCTGTTAATTGCACTAACTCTCGCTATATTTAATTGCCGCGATCTCTCTTTTACAACTCTCACTCGCTTAGCCAGTCGCTCGCACTAAACGAAATTCGCGAGACTTTTAATATATTTATTGTGTTTTCAGTTTGTACTAAAATCGTATTAGACCTTGTCGCTTAATTAAGCATTAGCCTTATTTCTTTTGGGTGTTATAAACCTTTTAAAAATCCCAATAAAAAAAAATAAATAAATAAACAATTTAAAATGAAATCAAGAAATTTAACGTCTTTCCGTTCATCTTTTTTTCTTTATATTAATGTAACTTTTTCTACATTTGAATCTTAAAATGAAAAATGAAAAAAAAACATTTTATTAAAAAAAAACATTAAAATTCAAATGTTTCATTAACTTAAAATTTCTCTCAAAAAAAACCAGTCTGATAATAAAATTGTCTATTTAATAACGGAAAAAATATCAAAAATATTTCAATATTAAGAATATCAAACGATTGTAAATATTTCAATTTTACGGTAATGTATATAAAAATTCTTTTCAAAGAAAACAAAACGAATGGAAAAAAATTGTGAATTAGATTTGAAATAGATTTGAAACATTTAAAAATAAAAAATGTGGAGAAATTAAAAATATTCGAAATAAAAGTACTTTTTTTACTCTTGAAAATCACCCAAGGCTTTTTTTTTTTTGCAAAGTCTCTAATCAAGATGCAAAAAAAAAATAAAAATAAAAAAACTACTTAACCGAAGGTAACAAGCGTGCACAAAATTGGGCCTACTAATAAGCATTGTAAGTCGTTAAGAATTTTTTTAGTTTTGTCGCAAGTCACTTGCACGATGAGTCAGCAGAATATAAAAAATGATTTCTTAAAAAATCCTTAATCCTAATATTTTGCACAGTCGGGTTTTTTAAAGCAAATAACCCCTTCCTTCTTTCTTTTTTTTGAGTTAAAGAGAAACGAAGCTTTAGCAGAGAATTGAATTGAAAAACTTAATACTTGAAAAAGTTTGTAAATTACAAACTTTGTCAATAATTATCAACGGAAATGAATAAAAAAAAATGTATATGCGAAAAAAAAACTTACATAGCACCAATATTCTGGTATCCGTAAACTTTTTCCGTTTCGTTTGTTTGCTTTCGTAAATGGAATCAAATAACGTGTCTGTCTTTCTTTATCACTTCAATTGACTTTTCGAGATTCGCGAAAACACATCGTCTTTTTCTTTCTCAATCTGAAAAGTCAAAAACAATGTAAATCTCTGAAAAATTGTCCTCTCTCGATACCGTATTTATATGTCCCATTTTTTCATAAAGGACAACTCACCAGTTTCTTCTTTTTCTTTTGTCTCGCTTAACTTTAAAATTACATCTCAGAAACTATTCTTTTATGTACAATATTTACACTTATGTTCGATATCGACGAACTTTCATTAACTCGTTAATGCCACACACTTATTGCATCATATCCTTGCTAACAAGTTTCTCTCCTTAAAAAAAAACATGAAACATCCGACAAATATAATTAGAATAAAAATAAAAATTCCGAAAAATTTTTAAAATAAAAAAAACTTACTTGAGAAAAAAATATATTACATAAAAATCGTTTTTGTTTTCCTTTTTTGGTAACTTTTCCTTGTTTTGAAAATTCATGATGAATTTTACTCCATTTGTCGAATACTTCAGTTGCCGTCGTTTAAAAAAAAAGCAGAAAAAAAACCTCTTGTCACAACCATCCAGGGCCAAAATCGACAAAAATCTTCATTGTGGTCAAATTTTTGAACCACAGAACACTCGACCAGCGATCATTTCAATGATTCGAAGAATTCGTACAATAATTGCGCTGACGATGATTTTAAGTAACGCCTGTTAACTTGATCGTCAGCTTAAGCTGATCTCAAACAACACCAGGTTGCAGAGTCAATAAGTAGGTTGTTGGATCGTAATATCCAGCCAAATAGTAAATGTCGTTGTTATCGTAAATCGTCAAATATCTGTGTGGCTCCTTTCCCAATTTTTCCGTATAATTTGGAAGTGGAAGCACTTCACATTTATGTGATATTGTCTGCACGTCATTCTCATCCATGTGAGGTGATTCAAATAAAGCGCCCTGTTGAATAAAATTAAATTATTTTTACACGAATAGAAGCAATGTAATTTAAATAGTAATTATAAATATAATTATTAATTTAAATCAATTTAAAAAATTAATTAATCAATTAAAATAATTGATTATATTATTATAATAATAAATATATTATTGTGCTAATTTATACGATTATAAAATTACAATTGGATATTTTTTTAAAGAGTAAATAAAAATTTACCTTAAATTTACTGAAGAAAATTAATAAACGTAAAAATATCAGGAAAAAAGAAGAAATTACAAAATTTACAAGAAATAAAATTAAAAAAAACATGATATTAGTTTTTCTCCAGGTAAATTAAAGCAAATTAAACTAATAAAACTCAAGTAAAAAATTAAAAAGCTTACGAAAAATAAAGAAATAAATAATAAAAAAAAAAATTTGTTCGTTATTATTTTTGTTCAAGGTAATTTAAAGTAAATTAAAATTAAGACAATTTAGTAAGAAAAATTAATTTACGGAAAAAAATATACTTGATATCAATTTACCTTAAAATTAATAAAAAAAAGTTAAAGAGTAAAAAAATTCAGTGAAAAAATTTAAAACAATAAGGAAGTTAAAAAATTTACCGAAAATAAAATAGAAAAAATTATTTCATATTAATTTTTCTCAAAGCAATTTAAAGAAAATTAATCTAAAATAATGAAATAAAAAATTTATGAAAAAATAAAATTAATTAAATAACTTACCGAAATTATAGTAAAAAAATATTTGATGTCAATTTTTCTCAATGTAAATTAAAGTAAATTAAACCAATGAAAAATAAGTAAAAGTTTCAGAAAAAAAATTAAAAAATTAAGAACCTTAAAAACTTTACCAAAAATAAAGTAGAAAAAATGCTTTGATAAATATTTTTAATTGTAATTTAAAGCAAATTAATTAAAAAATTCTGGAAAAATTGAAAAAAATTTAGAAATTTACAGAAAATAAGATAAAAAAATATATATTTGATAATCATTTATTTTAAAAATATTAATGAATAAAAAATTTAGAAAAAACTGAAGAAATTACAAAAATTACAATAAATGAAGTAGAAAAAATTATTTGACATTAATTTTCCTTCAAATTGCTAAAATAAATTAATAGGTAAAAAATTAAGAAAGAAACGAAGAAATTAAAAAATTTACAGAAAAAAAGTAAAAAAAAAATTCATTCATATTAATTTAGTCAAGGTAAATTATAAAGTAAATTAAACTAAAGAAAATTAAGTGAAAAATACAGATAAAATGAAGAAATTAAAAAACTTACCAAAATTAAAGTAAACAAAATACTTAAGAAATTAAAAAACTTACCAAAATTAAAGTAAACAAAATACTTGATATTAATTGTTTTCAAGGTAAATTAAAGAAAATTAAGTAAAAAAATTCGGGAAAAATTGAAGAAATTCTAAATTTATAGAAAAAAAACAAAAAAAAATATCTGACAAAAAAAATACTCAAGACATTGCAAAAATAAAGTTCATTAAAAAAATAAAGAATAATTAAAAAAAATTACCATAAATAAAGTAAAAACTAAATTTGATAGTAATTCTTCTAAAATAAATTAATTGATAAAATATTCAGGAAAAATTGAAGAATAATGAAAAAGTTTTCCAAAAATAAAGTAAAAACTAAATTTGATAGTAATTCTTCTAAGATAAATTAAATGTAAAATAAAATTAAAGGAAATTAAGTAAAAAATTCAGGAAAAATTGAAGAAAGTAAAAAAATTACCAAAAATAAAGTGAAAAAAAGAAATTAAATTAAATAAATAAAGAAATTTAATAACTTTATGAAACTAAAGTAAAAAAAAAGATAGTAATTATTTTTGACAAAATTACTCACAGGATACTTCAAATTTGGTGGACATCCGACAGTTTCTTCCGGATGATAAAACCATTTGACCTTGACAATCATATTTGAACTGGAAGTCTCCCACATGGATTCTATTCTGCCAATGTAGGGACGATCGGGTCTTCCTGTCGATAGGAATACTGCACTGTCACCAATTTGTATTGTTTCACTGCCTCTTTGTATGGCTTTGAAAAATTGTTTCTTGGCGCGTCCCTTTGCTCCGGGTCGTCGATAACCTTTACCGGCCCAACCCCACAATTGTCTCGCCGGCAAGAATGCAGCCATTTTACTACGACTCTCAACTGATTCCTGTCTCTCGCGTGGCTTAGCCGCCTTCTTCTCCAACTTCTTATGTTTTTCAATTTTATTCTCTTCATTTTGCTCGTCATTCACTGCAACAATCGCCTCTTCAGAAACTGGCACATCACTCTTTGTGGGTTCAATTCTCCAAATATATTTCTCTTCTTCAACATGAGCACCGTCATTAATTTTTTCCACTTGTGATTGTGAATTCACATTCGATAATAATTCTTCCTCACTTTTCTGTCCTGAGCAACTTTCACCGCCACTGTTGATAAAAAAAAAGTCATATATTACATTCAATTCTTTTTTATGTTAATTTCTTTGTTAAAAATATACATTAAAAAAGAGAAAAGTTCAAAAATAATTGAAGAATCGAGTTCGTTACAAACTAGAGAAAAAAGTTACTTACGAATTGAAAAAAGAAGTTACTTACGAATTAAAAAAAGAAGTTAATTACGAATTAAAAATGAAGTAAAGAAAGAAGTTAATTAAAAATTAAAAACAGAAATTACAAATTAGAACAGGGTTGCCACAAAAATTTAATTTCGTTTTTCCCTGATTCCCAGAGAGAATTTTGACATTTTTCCTGATTTTTAAAAATAATTGAATTTCTTAGAAAAATCTTATTACTTTTGAAAATAATTGAATTCCTGTTTTAATAAAAATTCCTGACTTTTCCCTCACTTTTCAGTCAGGAAACAAAAAAGTAGAAGTTTAAAAAAAAGAGGAAAAGTTAATATTAATTTAATTTAATATTAAAACTATTTTCAAAAAGTATTTAATATTAAAAAAAATGTTATAATTAATTATTTTAAAGTAAAAATTCTGTTCACACCTGTTATGACTGGCTTCACTGTTGCTGTGATGACTGTGCTTGTGTTTATGCTTCCTGTGTTTTCTGTGCTTGTGTTTGCGATGTTCTTCACAACATTTGTGCCTCTTGTGTTTCTTTTTGCCCTCCTGACTTTCCTGGAGTCTCTTTAATTTGTCCCGCCTTCGCTTCTTCATTCTCTTTCGTTCCCAATAGTCGTCAGTTAGATTTACACTTGTCTCATCGGGATTTCTTTGTTCCAATAATTTTTCTTCGGAAGACAATGATGAATTCACAATGGAATTAAATGAAAAATTACCAATTGATGACGAATGAGATGAATTTCCTTGTGATGATGTTGATAGACGTTTTTCCTCTGTTGATAGTGAAGTTTGCCTTCGACGTTTTCCCAATGATAACAGAGGATTTGGATCGTATTCTAAAATAATAATAAAATTGAATTAAAATTTGAAAAAAGAATATAGAAAAAGAAATAAGTTTAATAATAAGTGTAAAATGAAAGTAAATTTTTCATTTACATACCAACGACAGGATAATCAGGTTGTAAAAGTCTGATATCATCGAGAGCGATTCTTCCACTATCGCCATCATCAAATTCAACGCTCACGAATTTTTCATCTAATTCCGGATCCGGTTCTGTGGGTTCTACCGAAGTGCCTGGATAAAGACATCTGTACTGTTGACTCCAATAGGCACAAAGTCTCGTTCCCGGTGGCAATTCCTTCGTCGACGATGGACAAACTTCTACTATCTGCAAAATTGATATTAAATTTGTTTTAATAATAATTTCTACTCATTCGAATTTAAATATTATAACTTAATACAAATTGAAAGAAAATCATTCATCTAAATTAATAATCGTTATATTCCGGAAGTCTGTTCATTTTTTTCTGTAAATAATAATATTTTTAATACTTTTCTTTTAAAATGTTTAGAATTAAAAAATTAAAGAATTGAAAATCATTAAAATCTGAAAAAGAAGTTTATGAAATTTTTTTGAAAATAATTGAATTTATTCCAGATATTTTATTAAAATTCTATTGAAAATAATTTAATTGTTTTGAAGAATTTCTTTAAATTTTTCCAAAATAATTCAAAATAATGGTTTTTTTGAAAATAATTTGAAATGAAAATTTTGAAAGTAATTGAATTTTATGAAGAATTTCTTTCAAGTTTTTAAAATAATCGTGTTTGTTAATAATTGCAATTGAAAATTTTATTTTTGAAATTTGTTTGAATTTTTCTGAAGTAATTAAATTCTTCTCTGAATTAAAGCTTTTAAAAATAATTAAATTCTTTCGAAAAATTTCATTAAAAGTTTTATAAAGAATTGAAGCCTTCCGATAAACTTTCTTTAAATTTTATTGAAAATAATTGAATTCTTGAGAATAATTTTATTATTTATAAAAATAATTGAATTCTAGCGAAGAATTTTATTAAAATTTTTCAAAATAACTGAATTCTTTCAAAAAATGTTATTATAATTTTAGAAAATAATAAATATTAATAATTAATTAGTTAATAAGTGCATTTTTTAAATTTTGAATCTGAAATTATTCAAAAGGTAAAGTTGATATTTGAAAAGAAATAATTTTGTAATTCACATAATAATAATACTAAAAATTGAACACAGCGTTTCGTGCGTATTTTATAATAATAATAATTTATTGTATTGTGCAATAAGTATAATAAATTTAAAGCTCAAAAATCAAGTTAAATTTGATAAGAAAAGAATAAACTACCAACAAAATTTAAAAATAGAATAGAAAATATATTCAATAAAATTGCAAAACTTACGGCATCACGGAGAATTTCTTCTTGTGAATGAATATGAGGTCGATTTCCTCTCTCTCCGTCGAGAGTTATTGCATAAATGTCAGGAGCTTGTACTGCACTTAAACGGCCAGCATAAAAGAGTCCTCCCATCGCGGTAAGAACTCTCAGTTGATCGATTGCAAGATGTGCCGATGTCAGTTTACATTTATTTACGATATTCTCATTTCTTTCAGCTTTTGCTGCTTTCACACATTCCTTGCACTCCTTACAATCATTCGATTTACGTCGCTTAGCTTCCTTTTTCTCTCGATCAATCGATTTACGTCTATTTGGTGACGACGAACTAGATTTACGCTTCTTCTTCTTTGATTTATCAATCTGCTTCTCCAATTCTTCATCGTCATCATCATCACCATCATTCTCATGACGTTCCTCTTCATTTTCCTTCTCCTCTTTCTCCATTACAACTTCCTCTAAACACTTCTGGAAAATTACAAAAAAATTAATTATTTATTGAATTGAACTGAATTAATTTTAATATTTTAAATTACGTTATTAAATTTATTATATTCATAATAATAAAATTTTAAATTATCTATAATTAAAAAGTAAGTTTTAAATAATAAAATAGAATTTTATCACCTTTGGAATTTCCGGGACGTTCATTACTTGTAGATTATCAATTCCGCCCCAATCAGCGCTCTCTTCATCCTCCCAAGTTTTTAGTTTTGCCTCGGCTTTTAATTTCGGCTTGACTTTACCTCCCTGTTTCTCTAACTTTGAAACCTGACTCAGCTTTGCCTTTTCAGCAATAATTGAACTAATTACATTCTTATTATGAAGAGGAGTCTGCTTTGCCGGTTTGACTTTTGACTTCATGGCTTTTTGACTTTTGCCATTTGATTTTGAAGACGAGAGACCGGTTTTAAAGGGAAGTGGTGTGTAGCCCGTTTTTCCCACAAACTGCAAAACATTAAATATTGTAAAACGTTAGAAAAGAAGAAAGAAATCCTAAAATTAATCATGAATTTTTTAGCTTTCATTTAAAACAATAGTTTTGTTTATTTAAACGAACCTTGCTTTGAAGATGTCGATTTTTTGCATTCAGCAAGTAGCCGACAAGAGAATTTTTATTTTTCGGCTTTTTGGCAACAATTGTTTCGGTAAAATGTCTTGAACTTCCAGAAGTGCACATTAACTTCCTGGGACGACCGACTTTCCGTTTCTTCGAAGCCGAACTTCTTGAACTTGTTGCAGTTGAAACTGGCGAAGGTGTCTCGCAACTCACCTGTAAATTTTAGAACATTAATTAAACAATTACAATACAATTACAATCCATTTACAATACGTTTACAATACATTTACAGTGCAATTACACTACAATTGCAATACAATTATATTTTGATTGTACTTTTAAATTAGTTTTTCGAAACTATTTAACGATTATTTATTTTAATTAAAAAAATATTGAATTAAATGATTTTATTACATTCGTTTATTTACAAACTGAATTATGTACAGTCGACGCTTGATAAATTTAATCTCAAGGAACCCAGAATAAAATAAAAATAATTTAGGTTTTTTTTATTGAACATCTTAAGTTTCAAAATTTTTTCAAGTGACCAAGAAAATAAATCCAATTCATTGAGATATTCAATTTATTGAAAGATTAATATTATCGAGAGTTAAGAATTCAATTATTTTCAAAAATTGTAATAAAATACTGAAGGAAATTCAAATATTTCCAAAAAATGTTCATAAATTTCAATTATCAAATTTTTAATTACAATTATTAACAAAATTACAATTATTAACAAAAAAAATACAATTGTTAACATAAACGATTATTTAAAAAGGTTAAAAGAAATTCTTCGTAAAATTTAGTTGTTTTCATTATTTTAATAAATTTTCTGGAATAAATTAAATAGTTATAAAAAATTTTAACAAAATTCAGAGAAGAATTTAATAATTTCCGAAAATTTTAAATAAAATTCAATGATCAAATTCTCAATTGCAATTATTAACAAATACGATTATTTTTAAAACTTGAAAGAAATTCAATATAAAATAATTCAATTGTTTGCAATATTTTAATAAAATTATTTGAATAAATTCAATAATTAAAAAAAATTTTAATAAACATTTTTATGAGAATTTATTTATTTTTAATACCTAAAATTTTAATAAAATTTCTCGAAAGAATTAAAGTATTTTCGAAAATTTTTAAAAAATTCTTCAAAACAATTCAATTATTTTCAAAAAATTCTAGTAAAATTCTGAGAAGAATTCAATTATTTAAAATTTGTATGTAGAATTCCTTCAATAAATTCAATTATTTTTAAAAATTGTAATAAAATTCAGAAAAAAATCCAATTATTTTCAAATTTTTTGTAGAATTCCTTGAATAAATTCAGTTATTTAAAAAAATTGTAATAAAATTCAAAGAAAAATTTAATTATTTTCAAAAAATTTTAATAAAGTTCAATAATAAAACTTTTAATTATAATTATTAATAAAATCGATTGTTTTAAAAGAATTTAAGAAATGCTTCGTAAAATTCAATTATTGTCAAAAACTTTAATAGTATTCTTCCAAATTATTCAATTATTATTTTCAAAAAAAACTTTAATAGAATTCCATGACAAAATTTAATTATTTTACAAAATTGTAGTAACATTCTCAGAAGAATTCAATTTTTTTTTAATTTTTTGTAGAATTCCTTGAATAAAAATAAATTATTTTAAAAAATTGTAATAAAATTCAAGAAAAATTCATTTATTTTCTAATTTTTTGTAAAATTCCTTAAATAAATTCAATTATTTTAATAAATTGTTATAAAATTCAGAGAAGAATTTAATTATTTCAGAAAAATTTAAATAAAATTCAAAAACCAAATTTGCAATTGCAATTATTAACAAACACGATTATTTTAAAAACATGAAAGAAATTCTTTGTAAAATTTAATTACACACTTTCAAAATTTTCAATTAAAATTATTTTAAAAAATCCATTATTTTCAAAAAATTCAAATAAATTCTTCAAAATAATTGAATTATTTTTAACACTTAATAACATTTTTTCGAAAGAATTTAATTATTTTGAAAAATTTTGATAAAATTCTTCGAAAGAATTTAATTATTTTCAAATTTTCTGATAAAATTCTTCTCAAGAATTCAATTGCTTTCAATATATATTAATTTTAAATTTTAAAACCATTTTAAGAAGAAAAATTGTTTATAAAAAAGCAAACAACTTCAAACTAAGAATTGTTTACCGGAAGTACAACGATTATTATTAATACATAGATAATAAATAATCAAAAGAGAAAACTTACCGTCGACCCGTTATCTTCATCCTCTTGAACACTTGTCGTAAGAGTTGTAATGGGAGAATCCACAGGTGTTACAATGCTCGGTATATTATCCAACAATTTAATATGGCTTCTTGGCTCGTTAATTTTTTTCAAATTGGCATTACATTTTGCGAGTACACTTGGAGTCAATGAAGTTGCTTCTTCAGGGGAATGCAGAGGAGATTTAGGCTCCATATGGTCCATGTGCATTGTTGGCGACATAATTCCACTCTCCGAGCTAGAAAACACAATTTTTTCAATATCTCGAAAATAAAAGATTTAAAATAGTAAAAAACAATAAAGATGTCCTCTAAAAAAGTTATTTTTGTAATCGACGATAAAATAAATTTTAACAATAAAAATACATTCTCATCACATGAGAAGGTTATTTTTAATTGAATTATTTAATTTTATTTTCATTGAAATTATTTAATTTCAGTTTACAATAAAAATGTAGAGTAATTAAAAATTGAAAGAAAATGTATATTAGTGCAAAATGAATATTTACCAGGAAGACTGACTCTTCTTTCTCGCCCTAATGAAGGACTTTTTATCCTCCTTTTTAGGCGTGAGCTTCGATAATTCCATTTGCTTTTCTCTGTATTGCCTTTGAATATCCGCCATTCGTACTCGCATATCCAACTCCATTGCGTCCATATTCGGAAAATCAGCTTCATTATCCGCGTGACTTTTTCTTCGGAGGAATTTTTTCGTTTCCATTTTCGCCTCAAGCGTACTATAGTGATGATGATTAAATTCGGAAGAAGATTGACGATCTCCTTTCTCTTCATCATCACATTCGTCATCATTTTCATCATTCTCATGATCATTCTCATCATCATTTTCATCTTCGTTTTCATCATTTTCATGTTCGTTTTCATCATCATCATCATTATCATCATTTTCAATATCCGACTCCATTAGATCGCCATTTAAATAATTTGTATTTAATTTCTCCACCAGATTTGTCTCGTTCATTGATGAAAAATCGATATTTCGTTTTGCATTCTCTTTCTGTTCGAATGCAACTTCCTCATGACGTGATGCATAAGTTTTTAATCTCTTTAAACCCTCGTAATCGCCACTCTCATTTGTTGTCATTGGATATTTACGTTTCTCCGAGCATGCAATTTTTTCCTTTTTCATTGAAACTTTACCGAGATTCAATAAAAGTTGTCCGGCTTGAGAAATTTCTTCCGAATTATCAATTAGAGATTTCTTCGGCTCTGAATCGGCAACTTCCTCCATAAATCTCTGCTCGGCGAGAGCGCACAATAAACCCAATGGACTATCAACATTATTATTATTTTCACCATGTGATATTGATTTTAATTTTGTTGGCGATTTCTCTGATTCAAGAACAACAGTTTCGGGTTTTAAATGCTCAAGTTGCTCGATACTGTTCGATAAAAGTTCCAGACCACTCAAATCGACGTTCATCTTAATTTTTGGATTTTTCACTTTTCCTTCTTCAACAACAGTCGTGAAGGTGAATTCACTTGATTTCTCTTCGGAATTTTTCTTCTCGTCACTCTCTATCACTGGGAAGTTATTTTGATTATTTTTATCTTTACTATTGTTATTTTTATTATTTTTATTATTATTATTATTTTCCGAAATTAGTGAATTACTGACAGGAATTATTGAATTACTGACAGGAATCTCCAATGATTGGGGTGAATCATGATTGGGAATTGTAACACCTGGATGATCGGGAGTACCAATTTTTTCAAAAGAGTTCTCACACGATCGCAGTATAAGTTTCTTGAGACCATTTTGTAATTTTTTTGAATCCACTTCTTGTGGTTCCACCGAATTTGTGGATTGTTCCTTCGTTTTTATTTCGTTGTCATGTAATACAGCAGCAGCGTGTTTTTTTAATTTTTCGACAACATTCTCAATTCCGGGATGAAATTTTTCTTGTCCTTTTTTCAATTCTGATGAACTTTTTATTTTTTCTGGTGTACTTTTCGTTGTTGGCGTGTCGTTGGCTTTGTTTGATTCACTTTCTGGTTGGGCTATTGATAGTTGGTGAATTTCGTGATCGTCGTCTATCGATGGCATGTCGAAGGACTTTACTTGAGTTTGACTCTCGATTTTTTCTTCTGTCGTTGAGTTCAATGGTTCATTATAAGTGGAATCGAGTTCTGTCGTCACTGGTAGTGAATTAACTTCGGTTTGCAATTCTTCCACATTTTTCAAATTCTGTAAAAATAAGTATATTTTTAAAATTATTTTTACTTAAATAAAAGAATAAATATTGTTCTTTGAAAAAATAATCATCGTTTAAAAAGAAATTTACTATTGTTTTGTTTCTGTTTGTTTTCATTTTTAATTTTCTTTAGGAAAAATTATTTATTATTTAAAAAAAACCTATTTTAATTAAAATAAATTTTAATTAGCATTTTGTGGGTTGCCACAAAATTTTATTTTATTTTTCCCTGATTTCCAGACAGAACTTTGACTTTTTCCCTGACTCTAAAGAATATTTTAATATTTTAATTTTAATTTAATTAATAATATTTTAAATTCATATACTCTAAAAGTAATTAGATACACAAAAAACTGTTTGTAATTAATTTCTTTTTGGAATATCTTTCATTGCAAAATTATTCAGAACATCAACAGTTATTTTTAAAAATATTTAATCATTATTATTATTATTTTTCCACAAAAGTTAAGATTTTAAAAAATTTCAGATTTCAAATCCTTTGAAATTCAATAATTTATAAGAATTGCTACTGAAAATTATTTTCAAAACTTCAATTTAATTATCATCTAGAATTTTCAACTAAAACTCTTCTCTAATTTAATTATTATTTTAAATAATTTTTGAAAAAGTTACTCAAGAATTAAATTATTTATTTAAAAAAACAAACAGCTCAACAAAAATATTTTTGAAATCAACTTATTTACAATTAATATTAATGCAAAATACGTTTTTTAAAAATTTATTTTCTAAGAAAAACAGAATTTTATTTATTTAAATGTCTTGTTCTATGTAGAATTAAACAATTAATTTTAAGAAGTTTCATATTACTTTGATCTAATTAGTTCATATTTTTACTAATTCAAATTTTAGAAACTAAGATATAAATAATATTATAGCGAAAAAAAATTTATAATTTAATTTATTTTCCACTACTTTGCGTTAATATGTGAATTTTTTACTATTTTAAAAGATAACAATTTTGATAACTTTTCATATAAATTTTTGTAATTTTTGTAATTTTTGTAACTTTTTATAATTTTGAATCTGAAATATAATTAAATTTTTGTATAGAATTTTAATAAAATTTTTGAAAATAATTTAATTATTTTGAAGGACTTTTTGGAAATTTTGTGAAAATAATTAAACTTTTTCGAGAAATTAAAATAAAATTGCATTGACAATAATTAAATTCTTATAAAGAATTTTATACAATTTTTTAAAAGTATAATTAAATTCTTTCGAGAAAATTTATTAAAATTACATTGAAAATAATTAAATTCATGCGAAGAATTTTATTTGTAGGTATGTATAATTGACTTTTTGCAAATTTTTTCTACGAATTTAATTAAAATTGTATTAAATTCAATTTTATACCTACAGAATTTTCTCAAAAATTATTAAGAATAATTGAATTCTTTTAAGAAATTTTATATTTAAAATTATATTGAAAATAATTGAATTCCTACGAAGAATTTTATTAAATGTATAAAAATAATTGAATTTTTTAGAGAAATTTCATTAAAATTGTATTGAAAAGAATTGAATTTCTGCGAAGAATGTTATTAAATGTATAAAAAAAATGAATTCTAGCAAATTTTCTCTACGAATTTAATTAAAATTGCATTGAATTCAATTTTTATATAGAATTTCTATAAAATTTATTCAAAATAATGGAATTCTCTCAAGAAATTTAATTAAAATTATATTGGAAATAATTGAATTCTTTTAAAAAATTTTATAAAAAATTATATTGAAAATAATTCAATTCCTGCAACGAATATTATTTTATATCAATCCTGTTCAAAAGGGGAAATAATAATTTACATTTTTTGAAAAAATAGAAAAAAAGAAAAAAATACCTGTTGATTCTCAGTGATTGCTTTCTCGTCCCCTTGATCAATAAGATCCTCGGCGGAATAGGATTTTCGATCCCTTCGTCGACTGAAGAATTCAAGATTCTCATGAAAACTATCACAATTCTCCTCTGTGAGTTCAATAATTCTCGGCCCACTTCGTACACGTTCTTCCTCGAAATCCTCATCTTGGTTTCTCTTCTCCTGTTCATTGGTCTCAACAAACGATTCTCTTCGTTCCTCATGACAATTAATGACATGTTCAATAGTCCTGTCAATTGACGTCACAGTTCTTCCATCGCGAGCAATTGAATATTTTGTACAATCTGCCATATTAATAATCGTATTCTCAGCTTTATCGACCTTTCCCAAATTGACGCTCGTCGTTGTTATTCTCACGACATTGCAAATTTTTTCCGGCGTCGATGAGACAATCTCGAAATTAGTGAGATTCGTTGTCGTTGTTGCAGTTTGTAAATGACAGGGACTCATGGTTTGTTCTTGTTTGACAATTGGTTCAATCAATGGAAGTTCCTCGTCCATCTCGGAGGCCTCAGTTTGATTCGAGGCGTCCTGAACGCCAACGGGCAATGTTTCCGGTGCATCGATTGCATGGATAGATACTTCCGGCGGTGGTGTCAAACAGGAAACCGGGGACGTGGCCTTTGAAAGAAATGCATTTCGCTATTTTGGACAAAATGTCCCCAATAACATTTGGGTTAGATTAGAGTTTCGCATTAATATTTGTTAGGCAAGCAAATTTTTTTGCAAAAAAAATTCATTCTAATTTTGTAAACAAAAATTAAAAATTAATTTTTTGTTACTATTAATTTTTGTTTACAAAATAGTCTTGTAAATTTCAGGGCTCGAAGCAGTGAAAGTATTTAAAAATACGGACTTTACGGACCAAAAATTAAAAATTACGGACTAACTGACAAAAATAGAATCAGACCGAATCAAATAAGAGAATATTTTACTTAAAACTAGAAATTCAATTTTTCATAACTAAAAAACATGAAGAAATCGATAACTCTGAGTCTTCGACTCAAAGTCATCGATTTCTTCATGTTTTATAATAATTAATAATAATTATTATAAAAATTATTTATAATAATTAAAATCATTATCAATTCAATTATTATTTTCAAGAATTAACTGAAATTCATTTTTATGAAATGAAAATCAATTTTTATTAAAAAATTCTACTAGAATTCAATTATTTAAATACAAATAAAATACAAATAAATAATTTATTGAAGAATTGAACGTTTCTTAAAATTCAAATTCCCATAAAAAATCGTTATCAACAAATTTTCAAATAATTGAATTCTATCAACGAATTTTAATGAAATTTTTAAGAATAATTACATTTTTCGAAAAAATTCGATTAAAATTATATTAAAAATAAATAAAATAATTGAAATTCTGCATTGAATTTTATTATTTATGAAAATAATTTAATACTTGTGAAGAAGTTTATTAAAAATTTCCAAAAATAATTAAATTCTTGTAAAAAAAATTAACAGAAATTCAATTATTTAAAAAAATTTTAATAAAATTCTTGGCATAAATTAAAAATAACAAAATTCTTAGCAGATCTTCAATTACATTCAGAATTTTTAATAAAATTTTTCTCAAGAATTTAAACATTTTCGTAAAATAATAAAAATCTTTGCAGAGATTCAATTATTTTCAAAAGTCTTAATAAAATTCTTCGCAAGAATTCAATTATTTTCAAAAATATCAGAATTTTAGCAGAAATTCAAACATTTTAAAAAGTTTTGATAAAACTTTTTTTTGATAGAAATTCAATTATTTTTAAGACAATTTTAAAAAAATGTCTCGATAAAATTCAATTATTTTAAAAATTTTAATGAAATTTCTTCGAAAGAATTCAATTATTATAATCTAAGATTTTAACTGAAATCTATTTTTAAATCAATATTTATGAGAAAATTCTACCAGAATTCAATTATTTAAATACAAATAAAATGCAAATAAATAATTTATTGAATAATTGAATGTTTCTTGGAATTCAATTCGCATTAAAAAATTTATAAACAAATTTTTAAATAATTAATTTCTTTGGACGAATTATTTTAATAAAATTTTTAAGAATTTTTTCGAGGAATTCCATTAAAATTCTATTCAAAATAATTCCTAAAAAGAATTTTATTATTTACGAAAATAATTGAATCCCCGTAAAAATTTTATTATTTATGAAAATAGTTGAATGATTGCGAAGAAATTTATAAAAAAAAATTTGTTATTAATGAAATTCTTGTGAAATTTTTATTATTTTTTGAAAATAATTAAAAGTTTTTGTAGAATTTTATTAATTTTTTTTTAAATAATTAAATTCTTTTGGTAAATTTTATGAAAATATTAGATATTGAACAATATTTAATGTTTGCGAAGAATATTATTGCTTTTGAAAATAATTGAAATTTTGCAATGGATTTTATTAAAACTTTTGAAAATAATTGAATTTTGTCGAAGAATTTTGCTATTTATTTATAAAGATAATTGAGATGTTGGCCATTTTTTCTTAGATTTTTTGAAAATAATTGAATTTCGGAGAAGAATTTTAATATTTCTAAAGATAATTGAAATTTTGATGAGAATTGTTAAAAATTTTTGAACATAATTGAATTCGTTTGATAAATATTGTTAATTATGAAAATAATTGAAATTTTGTAATGAATTTTAATAAAATTTTTGAAAATAATTGAATTTTGTCGAAGAATTTTAATATTTATTTAAAAAAATAATTAAAATGTTGACAATGTTTTTTAGATTTTTTGAAAATAATTGAATTTCTGAGAAGAATTTTAATATTTCTAATAATAATAATTGAATTTTTGCGAAGAATTTTATTACTTTTAAAAATATTTGAATTTCTGCAATCATTTGTAATTTCTCTAAAATTCTCAAAATTATATCGTACAATTTACGAACTTTTTATCCTTTTTGAATGAAATTACGGACTTTACGGACCTTTTTTTTCAAAGAAACGGATTTTTACGGACTTTTACGGGATTTACGGACCTACTTCGAGCCTTGAAATTTTTGTTTACAATTTTTTGTTTTCTACTTATGGAAAAAGGAATTTAAAAAATTATTTTTTCGAGTTAATTGAAAGAAGTGAATTTTTTTTGCAAAGAATTGTTAATGCAGAGGAAAAGCCAAAGCGGATATATTAAAAATTCACCTGAGATCTGCAGTGTGTCGGTTCTGCTTGATTTATTTGTACTAAAGCTGGAGTATGAGGATAATAATGTAGAGTCGTAACCAAGGGAGTATCCGGAACTAATGCACCCGTCATTGATGATACTGTCTGCAGTTGCTTTGATGATTCGGTCGATGCTACAAGTAGATAAGAGTCGGCGCTACAACCTTGGATGTTTCAGAATAATTTAAACGTAAAGTAACGAATCACAAAAATCATAAATAAAACATGCGTCATCATTTTTAAATAAACATTATTCATTAAATATCAGTAAAGTTGTGTGCGTTGGTATAGAAAGAAAACCAAAAAAACAACAAAACTGTCGCAATTAAACGTCCAAAATGAAAACTGTTTACAACAAAAATGAGAATATTGAAAAATTAAAAATATCAAAAAGTTTCTTACTGATAATGGCAGTTGGACTATTTCCACAATCAGCCTCAATTTTGACTATTGGAAGACTGGCCTGTTGCTTTCTCTTGTTGTCAGCAAGAACTAGTCTTGTTCCATTAATGTCACCAAGAAGTTGTAATGATGGCGGTGGAGGTGGAAGAAGAAGCGGAGGCGCTGCTCCCACATTATTGCTACTGTGATTTTGATAATTTGGCCACACAACCGCCTGTTGCATTTGTTCTGAAAGTAAATTTTCAACAATCAATAAATAATAAATAAGAAATAAAATACACAAAGAATTAAAATAGACAAAAAAATAAAATACAAAAAATAAATTTACTCTTAGGAAAATATTTTCATTTTCGTAAAAACTCCACAAAAATAATTAAAAGAAATTTCGAAAAAAATATTTTCTTCGAAATTCCTTTTATTCGAGAGCAATATTTTTTATTTAATTTTTGATTCCAAATCAAAATCAAAACAAAAAATATTCCTCTCGAATAAAATTAATTTCTACGCAATAATTTCCTCGCTAAGAAAAAATCTAAAAAAAAAATAAATCCTTTAAATTCGCTAAGAAGAATTTAAAAGAAATTTTTGTATATTTATACAAAATGTACATTTCTACAAAGTATATGAAAAAAAAAATCAAAGCGATAATTCGAAGAGGAGATTCTGTAACATGACTTCCCCATTTCTTCGGTACAAAATCGCGGTTTGAATCCACTCAAACGATGAGTATGAACAAAGAAGGAAAAAAAAATTGTAGGTATATTCAAGTGGAGAAGAAAAGAAAGAGAGAGAAATAGAGGGGGAGAAGAAAGTGGAAGGCAGAGGCAGGGGAAGAGAGAGAGCCTTTAAACAAGAGGGTGAACACATAGCAGCAAGTTATACGGCAGCCATAAATGTGATAATAAATGGAGTCTCGTACGAACATAATGAGATTGCGAGCATTGAAAAAAGAAACGAGGAGAGACGGCAAGTTCTGGACCAAATGAGAACCCACCAGTGATTGGCACAAAACGTATAATATAAAATATATATATATATCTAAACGAGTACTTAATGTTTTAATGATTCTCAAACAATAGAATCATTTAGACTTAAATATTTTTAGCTCCAAAAAAAAAAAAAATTATGGAACTTTATTTTTATTATTATTTGCGAAAAAAAATATAAACTTACTTATTTTTTAAATGCAAAAAAGTAGAAACTATTTATGAAAATAGTTCATAAATATAAACTATTATATTTAGGAACTATTATTTGCAAAAAATAGTTTTTTGAAATGATCCACTGAAGTTTTGAACGTTCAAAATGAACAAAATATTTTTTATTAATAACAAAAGCCTCGGATCGACTTTTTGGTCGCAAAAAAGTCGCTTTATTCGATTAAAAATACAAAAAAATATGAGAAAGTAATTTATTTAATTCAGTGTTGTCGCAAAAATTTTAATGTGTATTTCCCTGATTTTCCCCTTTCGCACTGATTTCCAAATTCAATTATTCAAAACTTTAATAATTTTGTTAAATAAATATTTAAAATATATCTTCTTATTTGTTTTTCCATCAGGAAAAAAAAATTTCAATAATTTCAAAAATCTCCTAAAATTAAAGAATTTCTAAAACTTGCAACTGTAAAGCTTCCAAAATTCACTTTTTTTCCTACAATTCTTAACGAACCTTCATCTCTAAATCAATTATTTTTAATAATTCTTCGAAAGTTCTTTGAGAATTCAATTATTTAAATATAAAAATTCAATTTTTTATAAAATAAGTGTAACTGTACATGATTTTTTTAAAGTTATTAAAGTATATTTTCAAAAAATATAAAAAAAATTTTTAAATTAATTTATTAAAAATACTTTTAAATAATTTTTGAAAGACTATAGTTCATCAATTCTATACAATTAAAAAATGTCCAAACAATTAAAATTTGGTAAAATCTTTTAAAAATAATTGAATTTTTTTAAAATAATTAAATTTTGATAAATTCTTTTAAAAATAATTGAATTTTTGAAAAATATAAAAAAAATAATCAAATTTTTGTAGAATTTCAATTATAAATTTGAACATAATTTCTCCGAAATTTTAATAAGTCTAAAAGACTAAATTTTTAAAAATTATAATTTACTTTGTTCGGATGATAATTAAAATTATGTTAAAAAATTAAAATTTCTTAAAAAATTATGCCGAAACAAATTATAAAAATTTAGTTTATTAAAAATAAATTGTATAATGTAATTTTTCGAAAATAATTGAATTCCTTAAAAGAATTTTCGTATAATTTGAAAAATATACTAATTAAAGTTTTGAAGAATTTTAATTAATAATTTTGAATATGATTATTTTCTCTAAATATTAAAAATTCTAAAAAATTTTAACGTAATTTTTTTATAGGTACATGCATGTATTTGAATTTTCAGAAATATGTATAATTGAAAATAATTAAATTTCGAAAAATTAGAGTGAAAAAATTCTAAGAAATACTTTTTTTAAAAAACATAAAATATAATTTTGAGAAGCTAATTTTCATTGTAATTTTCGTTGGTTTAGATTTACACTTGAAGATTTTTCATTATAATTTTTGAGAATTCAATTATTTTCAAAATTTGCAATTAAATTTCTTCAATAGTTATGATTTTCATAAGAATGCTAATAAAATAATTGAAAAAATCATTTATTTTCAATTAAATTTTACAAAATTTCAATTATTGAAAATCCTTTTAATTGTATATATATTTTGACAATTTAATTAGAAAAATTATTCAAAAATTATTTTTGAAAGATTTGTCTACATAGTTTTTTTTGACATTCGAAACTTATTTCGATTTTGTATACAAAATCGAAATAAGTTTATTCATTTTATAATTAAAAATGCGGTATTTGGTTGCAATGTTTGATAGAAAAGTCGAAATAGTCGCAATTTTTGAAAATAAATCGAAAAAATGTAAATTTTTGAATTTTTTCCGAAAGAGAACTATAAAAATCTAGAAGATTATAATTTTTTTTAAATTTTCATAAGTTACTTTTATTACAAAAAAAATTATTTACTTCAATTTTGCATTCAGAAACTTTACAATTAATTTTTCTTTTTATTGACGCAAAATTATTGTAGTAAAAAATTTGTTTGAAATAGAAATAAATAAATTTCCTTCATTTGAACATTCAGAACTTTATAGGGTCATTTTTATAAAAATTATTTTATTAAACATAATTTTTTCCAAAAGAAGCATAAAAATTAAAACATTATAATTTTGGAAAAATTTTATTTGAATTTTTTACAAAAAAAAATGTACGGTTTATATTCTAAACACTAAATTGGAATATTTTTGAAATATAAATATATTTATAGAAAGAAAATTCACTTACCGGCAGAATGTATAAGAAGAAGGTGTCCAGTTGTAGGATCTCTAACTAATTGTAAACCAACTCCAACTTGAGGAAATCCAACTGGCTCCATTGGCATTGCTACAAAAAGAGGAGAAAAAAATTAGTATAAATAATTATTCACCTGGCCAATTTTCTACTCAATTATAAAAATTAATCAAATTTTTTTTAATTTCTATTTTTTTTTGTTTAAAAAAATTATTTTCTACACTAAAATAATTAATTTTCAACTAACTTTGTGTTTCTATTTTTCTTTCTTGTATATTAGAAATTTTTAAAAATATTTAAACAGAAAAAAAGTTTCATTCAAAAACTAGTAGAAAAATACGTAAATTATTTCATAGCAGTAAGTAAATTATTGCATAGTGGCGAGAGTAGATTATTTTATAACCGAGTAGACTATATTTTATAACGTAGAGCATATATATTTTTGAAACGGTAAAATTAAAAATAAGTAATTTTGAATAAATTAAAAGGCTTAGAATGTAAATTTTTGCTCCATTTGAACGTATATGCGAGATAAAATCTTTATTTTCCTGAATATTTAAACGAGACGACCGATATAGAGGGAAAATGTCACTCGGTCACCGCTCGAGAGGAACGAGATATATATTGTTAAATTACATAATAATTCAAAATTGATGCAAGTCGGGAAGTATATTTATATTGTACTCGATACTTTTTTTCGAAATAATATTTTACAGTTGATTGTCAATATTAAATATAATTATAAACTGAAATTTCAATGAAGGGTGAATGTCACTTTCATACTCAAATTATCACTTTACCAATAATTTTCACATTTAACCGAATTTATTAGGGAAGAGTCTGACGGACAGTCAAAAACATAAATAAATTATAGTCCAATGTCGTACTTTCGTATTTTTTTAAAATAAAAAGCATTTTATTTAAATATTTAAAAAATGTTTAAATTTATTCTCTTTAAATAGATATTTAAATTTAAATTCCTTTAGGTAGATGGAAGAACACTTTATTTTTAGTATTTCAAACAAATATTGCATTTAAATAAAAATTACAATTCTGTCATTGAAAAACGGTGACGTTTATTAAATTTTATCTTCTGTTAATAATTAAATTGTTTTCTATGGACAACTGTTAATAAAAAATTGTAATTTAAAAATCAAATGCATTGTTTAAATTTTAAAATATCGAAAATTAAATTTCTCGCACCATTCCACAAAAAAGAATTTAAAATTGTTCACATTTTTTTTCACACTTTCTTTGTTTTAAAATTGTTCAAATTTTATTCAAATTTTCTTTGTTTCGAAATAAAGAAACTGGGGTAATTTTTTCTTTCGATTAATTGTCAGATTCTTCTCCTTAATCGAATTCAAAAGTGTCGCAAGTTTTTTCTCTTTGATAATTTTACTCTCATTTTAAATTAATAATTTTTCTCGAAATAGTGAGAGAAAATTTAGAAATTTAAGGGGCTGCTGAAAATATTTAAGGGCAGGAAAAAGGTCTTTTTTAACAATTTTTCTTTTCCGAATAACTTTTTCTACATAATTGAATTCAATTTTAATTTTTAATTTAAAATTTTAATTTAATTAATTTAATTAATTTAATTTAATTTAATTTTAATTTAAAATTTTTAATTTTAATTTTTTTTTAAATCAACGAATCAGTAAACTTCTGCTAACAAACAGTAAAATTTGACTAATTGTTCTCAATCACCAAATTCACCGAATAATTAGTCAAATTTCACTGATTTTTAGTAAAATTATTACTGCATTTGCTGGACGACTTTTCGTTATTTTAATAATAACTTTCTACTAATTCAAATTTAGAACTTATTTCTTATTATAAATATTAAAAATATTTTCAATCACTGAAAACAGTGAAATTATTGGCGATTCAAACAGCTAAACTAGCGCCTCCGGTGGCCGAGTTTAAACTAATATATACACGACTCCCTGCATGGTGTTCAATGTAAATATCAACGTTTTTATAGTTTTTCAGTTTTATTTTCACTATTAAATCAAGTTTTTTTTTAATTGTTCTACTTGTTTAAATATTTATTAAATATATTATAATAATTTTGAAAGAGTATCGTTACTCGCGGACAGAAAGAAAAGAAAAAATGGGAACGAAACAAATGTTATTCGCTCTGAATTGAAAAAAAACAGAAAATCTTTATCAGCTTCCAAAAAATGTTGTAAGACGTAAACAGTAGGCTATTGCATTTAAAACAGGAAAAAAATTAACCGACAAAATGAAAGTTTGCAGTACAAATTTTAAATCTAAAGATTACATATCAACTAGAAAGAACATTTTTTGGTTATGGTTTTATATGTTTGACAAAAATTCTAATTTTATATTACTTCTAATTATATATTATTAATTTAATCTCTATAGACATTAAATTAATAATATAAAATTAGAATTTTAGATTATTAGAAATATAATATTATTAATATTAGAATTATTTAATTATTAGAATTAGAGCGGAACATAATAATTGTTTCGATCCCGTTTTTTCTTTTCTTCTGTTCATGAGTAACGATGCTCTTATCCATATTTATTATAATTTATTTAATAAATATTTAAATAAGGTTAACAATTTAGAAAAAAAATTGATTTAATATAATGAAAATAAAACTGAAAAACTTTAAAAATGTTGATATTTACATTGAACACCATGCAGGGAGTCGTGTATATATTAGTTTAAACTCGGCCACCAGATGCGCTAGTTTAGCTGTTTGAATCGCCAATTACTGATTCAAAAATAGTTGAATCTGTTTTTACCGATTGAAGATAAAACAGACTCGACTGTTTGGTTTAGTAATTTTTCACTAGTTTTCAGTGACATAAGATATTTTATAATTTCAGTGAAAATTTTACTGAAGTTCTGACTGACACTCTTCAAACTTCATTACAACAAAATTATTAATTTTTTTTTTTTTTTAGTTTTTCTCAATTATTTTCGACGTAATGAAGACTTTGAGTCTTCATTACATCGAAAATAATTAAGAGAAACTACTTTTAAAAAAATCTGTTGTTTTTAATGAAAGTTGATCCCCTTTGTGAGTTTTCCCTCGGAAAATTACAAACATAACCTAAAATTTTTTAGACACCTTTCTTCAGGGCGCGTCTCTTTCTTCAGTCTCTTATTGTTGCAATATAAGCTATTAAGGGCAGTCATTAGTCTACATATTGATTCTTGTATCAAGAGAAGAAAGAAATCTAAATCTAAATTAACCTAAAAAGAACTAAATGAACTCTATAAAAAAATGACCAAAAACTATCGATCCTATTAAACGAAAAATTCGTCAGTATTAAAGTAACCAAAAGCAATTCGTTTCATATAGACAAATTATAGGAAAAACCTCGAGGAAAAAACTTGAATTTCTCCATCAGCATCAGGTAAAAGTGCAATAGAAGATAAAAAAAAAAAAATGGTTTCCCCGTAGACTCACCTGCGGCAGCGGCAGCAGCAGCGGCGGCGGCTGGATATTGCCAAAGCGTTGGGGGCCAGGAAGCGGTAGTCGCCGCTGCTGCACCAATGCTTCCCAAGTTGGAATTCAGGCTGGAGCTGAGGGCGGCGTTCAAAGAGGGCGGTAATCCGCCTCCAGAGGGAATAGCCAAGTGGGAGGTACGATCCTCCCCTCCAGGGCCGCAATGCACCAACGTTGTTCCTCCCATTGCCATGGCCGTGGTTGAACCTGCAAAATTCCCCTCACTTTTAGTTTACTTCAAACCTCTTTTCTCCTTCAATTTCTATCCCCACCTCTGCTTAACATCAAAACACTCAACTATATATACTCCCCCTCCAACCCCTATTTTACTCCCATTTCACCTCCCCTACTCCTACTATACTCCTCTTTCACGTCAAACCCCACACATAGCAGAACCACTCTCTCTCTCTCTCTCTTTCTTCACTGTCCTCCTACTCCTCGTTTCCCCTCAACATCTCCTGGAGAATCGAGTCTCCTTTCGACCATTACACTCTTATACGAGTTTCACATGCTGATCCTAAATCTTCCCAAATCAGATTGTTAGAACCAGATAATCAGGGTCGGATTGGAAATTAAAAAAGGTTTCCGAAAAAGAGATATGGTGAAATTTTCACTGAATACTAATCTAAAAGTTCTGTTTGTGCTCAATTTGTGCGTTTTGCTGATTCTTAATCTCTTTAATTGCATCGGGGAAATTTGTACTGAATACCAATCAGTGACCTCGTCAGTGACTCACTTTTAGCTAACTAAGTCATTTTTACTGCGAATTAGTGATTTTTGACTAGGTTGATAGACATAGCTATAAATGAGTACTGATTCGTATATATACAGTTAGATTTTCCTGATTCAATTTAGTTTATGACCATCCAGCTTTGCCTTACAAGTATACCGATTTATCAGGATAGATCTTATCTATACTAAAATTTTGCTTTAAAAGTTACCAGAAATGCTTTACTATAAAAGTATATTATATATAGTAAAAGCTATACTTTATATTTTTTCCGTGTCCTCCTTTCTTTAATTTTTAAGCTATTTTTCATGTAGTTTTACCCATTTTTACAAAATCTACTGCAAAAAGAAAGCATTTTTGTTAGTGGCAATCCTGTGACCATCAGGGAAGAAACAAATTTTGAAAACCGTTTACACTGTTAAAAATCAGACCCCAACTTACCTCTGGGCAAAAAAACTGCATGTTCGTTCCAAAAATGTTCTTAAAACCGTTTTTGGAACATTTCATGTCCGCATCAAATAATGTTCCAAAAAGATTTAAAAAACACAGATGTTGAAATAATGTTCCAGAACATTATTTGGCGGACATAAAACATTCTAACAATGTTTTAAGATAATATTTTTCGAACGAACATGGTTTTTTACTCAGATGGTTTACACCAAAAAGATTGAAAAGACATTATTTCAATTTCGCAAAGTGTGTGAATATTTGCATTTCATTGTATTAAAGTTTTTAATCGATCCAATCAAACGAAAGTATATTCACACTTTGCGAGATTGAAACAACATCATAATTTTTTTGGAGTCCAATTTTTAACAATGTTCATCTTCAAATTAAAATTATTGAAAAGTATAACCTATTTTTGAGCTTAAAAGTATAGATTTAATCAAAAGTTTATAACTTACAATCAAAAAGTATAGAAGACTGCGATACTAAAGGTTAAGATCAGGTAAAGGTTAAGAAAAGGTTAAATTTCAAATACTCTGAAGGTTGAAATTCAGTTAAAAGTGGTTTTAATGTAAAAGGTTTTAATCAAAAGTAGACTGATAGCATGAGATTTACTTTTTTATGTGGTCATCTTATTAATTTTAATCAGTGGAATTTTCACTGCATAGTATAACTGCGGTTATACCTTTGGATATGTTCAATAATTATTCTCTCTAAATCTGAATCAGTTATTTAATTTTAAATAATTGAATGTATATATATGCTTTCAAATCAGTTAAAATTTACGGATTTATCCATAAAAGAAATATTATATTTTCTATACTGATTAACCACTAAAATTTAACTGATTTAGATAAGTTAACACTTTCACTGATTCATATTTATAAGTATATACATATGGTTTTAGGTGCCCTATCATTTATTGACTATACCAAAAAGTATGATTAAAAGAATGATAAAAATAGTTGGTGCAATCCGAATTTGTAGTTGTCTAATTAAGCCTAATTTTGACTAAAATATCTTACATTAGTGAAAATATTTCCTAAATTTCTGATTAGTAAACTGATTTTAAGATCTCAAATTGTCTAATTTTTAATTTAAAACCCAAAAATGAGTTGAATTTAAGAAAAAACACGTTAGAGGCGTAAGTATACTTTATTCTTAGAGTGAAAGTAATGAAAAGTTACAAATTAATCTCTTCTTGTTGCATTTACGTTAAATAAAAGTTCTTTCGAAAATACGCACTTAATAGAAAACATCTTTTTTGGCGCAGTAAAACCATTCTTTATTTTTACAATTACAACTTCAACCAGAAAATAGGTTAACATTTGAAAATTTGCTTTAGATCGGTATGTATGTGTGTCAACCTATATATATTTTATGATTGGTGTGCAACCGCACAGAATGTTTCTATCAACAAGAGAAATAATAAATACGTCGCAGCTATATGTAGAGAAATGGATATGCACGCGGTAACTATATAAAATTTATGAGACATATCTACAGCAACTATATATATATATGTTCAAAATGTTTGTTACAACCATATGCTGTTTTGAAAAAACAAAGTCCGAAACCGTTTATATCTATTAAAACCGCAGTATATGATTGAAAAGTAGATATTTTAAAGCTAAAAACTAGTCTAAACTCTATTCTTTGACCTTAAATCGCACATATACTTTGATTAAAATTGGCTAAAATTCAGTCCAAATTGGTCCTAAACTTTCTTCCTGGTAAACGGTTTTAGTCAAACATGGACTGAAGTCGAAGATTTATACAGTACAGAATTAAAGAATAAAAATATTTATTTTAAAAGTTTTGTTTGTTACTTTCAGCTGATACAAAGGATTTAAAGTTCTACGAAGTTGTATATGAATATATCTATATAATTATATAGGAGATACTAAATCCGAATGCAGATATTACTTCCGTATGATAGATAATTTGATTATAATTTTAAGATAAAGTTGAATATCAATTTTTCTCAGTTACAATGATTGCATGGCAAAGACGAACAAAGTAACCTTTACTATATTAAACGTATATCAACTTTATACACATAGTACGTATATTAGAACTCCTCCGCACTTAAGCTTTTCCTCTCTCCAAATTGTATTTGGAGTTTCACGTTTCATGTCAAATTTTCAGAATTCAGCACAAAAACAAGAACAATTCTCTTCGCAGGTAGTGAAAATTCCGTAGAATATCTAAACTGACATTTGCATTATAAAAAGAAGGCGCATCTTATTTTAAAATACTTTGGTATAGTCTCTCAAATAGTCTCTTAAATATATTTAAGAGACTATTTGAGAGACTATAGTCACTTAAACAACTTTAAGTTGCTTTCACAAAGTTATCAAAAGCATAATCTTAAAAGATGAAAAGATGCAAGATGGAAAAATAAGATATTTTAGTTTAAGAAGCAACTATACTATGTATTCAAAGATGCTTATTATTTTAACAGTATTATAAACACCGTTAACTTAAATTTAAAAGTATCAAATTGCAACAAATTGATACCAAAAATGTGGATCAAATACAAAAATTATTCTAAATTTTTGGCATCAATTTGATCCGCACTTTAGTATCAAATTGATACTCTCAAGAAAACTATATAAAAATGTCAGAAAGTATCAAAATTCAGTTCTAAAGCACGTAGTATAATACTAATTGTGCGACTATATTAGTAATCATATATATGGATCGGTATCATGCACTTAAAACTTAAACCCGAAAATTAGATTTTGGAAAATCAGATTCAGATTTACAGAGAGAGTCTATATTAGCGGTTAATAACTCCACACTAGTTTCCTGTTAAATATAACCAAGTTTCAGTGTGTGTGAAAATTTTACTCAAGTGCGAATCAAAGTTTAATAAATCGACCTCGGAAAGCAATATGAATACATTCGCGCATATATATATCTATATAGAGAGAAACAGAGAGAGAGAGAGAACTATTATATATAGTATATTTAAACCCGTTAGAGTTCGAAATGATATTCTCCCGATATATTCTCATTCTCGAGAGGTAACATTACCTTTGTAATAAACTCTAGCGAATCATTACTCTCACTTTCACGAACAAACCACTACAAAGCTTGGTATACACGATGCATAATACGTCCATTTAACGACTACCCGATGACCCTTCCCTCTCTCCTCGACCTGCTAGCGTGCCTAACCCAACCATTCTTTTCTAACAATCTTCATATACATGTACATATACAGCAACAGAAACGTATGTCTACATACGAGTACATCAACCTTTTTTCAACTTGGAAAAACACTTTGCGTCTTTGTCATTGTTAATTGAAGTATTTACTTCTCCACTCCCTATATACATATACAGAACATTATATGTGATTAATTGTGTCAAGTTTTTTCACTAATGAAATTGTTTCGTCGAAAAAATTTGTCCTTTTCAAATGTGTTTGCATATTTCTTTTATATACTGTATGTTATAAACCAAACGCAGTAGTTTTAGGATCTAATATCAAATTCTTAGGTTAAAATCAAATTCTTATTATAAAAAGTAGTTCTAATTTTTAAATTTTTAAAATAGAAACAAGAATAACATCTTCCACAGTAGTATTATTTTTGGAACAATCGATTCTCTTTTCTCTTTATAAATTTTGTGTGGACGGTATACTTGGATTTTTCATAGTAAATTTTTTTTTCAGTGTACCATCTGTTATTCCCAATTACGTAACATGGGAAACGATCATAATAAAAATATGCACATCTACAAAGAACATCCAAATAGAAAACATATCATACAGAAACCATACCGGAAATCCGTACCAAAAATTTGCAACTCCCAAGGTTGTAGGCAAAACTGAATAAATTTCATGTTCGAAATCTGGAGAACATATTGGGAAATATTTTTTTTTTTTTTGACATCTGGTATATATTATAATAATTCTGAGAAGAGTTTAAATCTCCTGGTTTATGGTTGGGCCCAGAGGATATACATCTCTATAGGAGAAAAAGAGTGCGAGATGAAAAAAAGGACGAGAGTCGCAGTGGGATATCAAAAACCGAAAAACGAAAAGCGAGAGAAAGAAGAAGAAAAAAAAGTGAAACTAGAAGCTATAAGAAGCCATAATGTTACTGCATCATCTAACGTTACCGACAACTATATTAGATTTTAGATCCGCTTCGTTATTATATACCCATGATGAATTCTCAGGGTCGACTACATTCACGAGGCGCATTTATATTATTTGTACTAAGGATAATATACTTATAGCCCTCTAATAGCATCACATATGTCAACGTATAACATATGTATAAACATTTTTAATATTCAAAATTTAATATCTTTATTTCAAGGATATCAATATCATCTTTCAATCCGTATATATAATAGACTATTTTTTTTTTTGACTATTTTGTCAAACTTTTCAAGAATTAGAAAAACGATTCGCCACTTGATACTTGTAACTATAATTTGTAAATTGTTTACAGACTATAATTGTTTTCTGATTTCGAAATCCAAAATACGCATAGCAGTAAACCAAAGACGATTCTCATCCGTTTGATATACCGAAGGTTTCTGTTCGTACTTAACCCAAATGCGAAGAGCTTATATTAAGAAAATAAAAGATTATAACGCATAAAACTCATGAATAAAGATAATGATGAAACCTAGATCCGCTTATTTTATTTTAATACTTTTTTCCCATAAAGACGCGCGTATATAATTAAGCAGAGGATTAAAAATTAAAAACTAATTTAGAATATGGCATATATGTATAAATTTATGACTTACCAAAATTGTCGGGTTGAAAGTGATGATAACTCGCGTGATGAGAAGTATGATGACTCAGAGAGACGTTACGCACTGATGACGAGGACGTTTCCTGATGCTGCAGTCTTTGTCTTGCTAGTGCAATACCAACAGGTATACCACCTGCTCCTATGTTCGAGAGTACTATTCCTGAAACAAGAGAAAAAAACTAAATTCAACAAAGGAACAAAATTATTTGACATTTGGTATACTCGCTTTTCTATTATAGAATTATTAAACACATTAGGTTCAACTCATCTGAAGTCTGAATAAAGGAAACTAAGGAGCAACAGATTTTTAGGTTACGAAGCTGAGCATCGACGATAGTTTCAGGAACTTACGTTCCTGCGAAACTAGCGTCGATGCTCAGCGTCAAAAACATTAGTTATTTAAAGTTTGGCAGCAAACGAACCTTAAGAATAAGGTCCTCTTTCTACCCTATGCGTTGCACTTATGAAACTAAGGATTAACTTAAAATTATTAATATTTTCTCAGTCAATTTCTAGTGAACATAAAATTCTAAATCTAAATTCGAACCAAAAACAAAGGGCCAGTTTCACCAACACCGATTTGTTAATCAATGCTTAAATCCTTAACCGACCAATCATGAGCGGTTAAATTTAAACATTGATTAACTTTTATGGAGTTGCTGAAACTGACCCTAAATTCAAAGTTTCCTTACATAAGTAATCGGTTCGAATTTAAAGCTTTCATTAAGCGCAGTGAATAGGTCCTAAATTTTTTCCCGCAGTTTCCCTCGATGTTGACTTATAGAGAACGAGGAGAAAACACCTAAAATACTCACGAAATGAATAGCGTCTTAATGTCGGGGTCTAAAAGCTCCTTCATTTTTTATTCCTCCCTCCTCTCTTGAATTCTATATACGATTCCATTGCTGACTCTCTCTTTTTTTTTGGTTCAAAGGCAGACCCTATGATATGCATTTAAAATGCATTTGACTTGAACATATTGTATATAATGCAGCATGAGAGATTAGACTTAGGGTCGAGACTTTTTTAAACCACGCCTCATATTTGCGTCGCCATGCGTGCCACGCACCTCCTACTTAACGAATGATCGTTCTTTATTCCCTTTTTCTTTCTATCACGCGCGTTACACAAACACATTTCTTTCACACGGACGCATAAATACAAATACGTTTCCCTCGATTTTTTTTCTTTTTTTTTTTTGCCTTTTATGGCTTTATACACGGAATATATATATATGTTGTGGCTGTGCAGCCCTCTCAATAATCTCGAGGACTTCCCTAAATTTACAAAAGTACCACTTGCCAATATTCCAGAGAAGTGTACATGTGCAGAATTTTTACGGAGCAATTAAAAATTCAGATTGTGCGCGCTTTTGGAAATTTTTTTACGACGATGAATTCGTGATTTTTTTATACATTTTTGGCTCCAAATTGAAGATTTAATAAAAGTAGTTCGATTAGTCGGAAAATTATATAATTTACATCCTTTTCCAAAAAACTGGCCGAAATTGTGAAGTAGGCTACAAATCTTAATTCTAACAATGATTTTCGATTCACAATTGTACAACATTGAGTCACTATATTTCAGGCATCGCACTCATCTACTAAAACCTACTATTTACTACTTTTTTACGTTATGCTACTATTTGGGTATACCTTTTTTTAGATTTCAGTCAGTAAGAGCTATACTATTTCTGTTGTTTTTAGAATTTCCACTACTTTAAATTCGCTAATAATAGAAATAAAAAAACTATTCTCAAAAATTATAATCAAATTCCTTAAAACGATTCAATTATTTAAAAAAAAAATATTCAAAAGAATATAATTGAAAAGAAGAAGAGGAATTTCGCAAAATAATTCAATTATTTAAAAAAAATTCATTAAATTCATCAAAAATTCAATTATTTTCATAAATAATAAAATTTCCACGGGAATTCAATTAATTTAGAATGGCATTTTTAGAAAAATTTCGAAAAAAATCAATTTTTAACAAAATGTTTTTTTAAAATTCTTTAGAAAAATTCAATTATTAAAAAAATATATAAATTTTTTACAAGAATTCAATTATTTACAAATATTTTAATAAAAATTGTTCAAAAGAAATCAATTATTTTAAATATAGGTACAATTTTAATTAAATTTTTTTTTAATTAATTAATCTTTTACATTTTAATTAAATTTTTTTCCAGGAATTTAATTATTTACATAAATAGTTCTTCGAAAGAATTCAATTATATGTCGATAAATAACAAAATTACTCCTGAAAATTCAATTATTTTGAGGTATTTTAATAAAATTCTTGGCAAAATTCAATTATTTTCATAAATAACAATATTCATCACAAGAATTCAATTATTATTTAAAGTAATAGATTTCTTCTTGGAAATTCAATTATTTTCATAAATAATAAACTGCTTTTTAAGAATTCAATTATTTTCAAAAAAATTTAATAAAATACCATACATTCGATCAATATTGTCAAAAATTTTAATAAAATTCTTTGTAAAATTGAATTAATTTTAAAAACTTTTCGCAATTCAATTATTTTTAATATCTAATATTTTCCTTAAATTTACACACAGAATTCAATATTATTTAAAAATTGTTTTGTAAAAATCTTCGTAAGAATTCAATTATATTTTCATAAATAATAAAAATTTCTCATTAATTCAATTATTTAAATTAGAATTTGCATAGAATTAGTCGAAAGAAATCAATAATTCAATTATTTTCACTAATAATAACATTTTTCATGGAAATTCAATTTTTAAAAAAAAATTTTTGATAAAATTCTAAGCAAGAATTTAATTATTTTCATAAATAATAAAACTCATTTCAATTATTCTTAATACTATTTTAATTACAATCGAAAAATTTAATTTTTAAAAATAAAATTTTTCACAAGAATTCAATTATTTAAAATAAAATTTTCATAAAATTTATATTTCGAAAAAATTAATTATTTAAAATAATGTTCATAAAATTCTTATGAAAAATTCAATTATTTTCCAAAATAACAACATTTTTCACAGAAATTCAATTCTTATTAAACATTTTTAATAAATTTTTTCGTAATATTACAATTATTTTCATAAATAATAAAATTCTTCTCAGGAATTCAATTATTTTTAAAAATTTTAATAAAATTCTTAGCAACTATTCAATTATTTTCATAAATAATAAAAATCATCTCAGGATTTCAATTATTTCTAATGCAATTTTACAGGAATTGATCGAAAAATGTTATTATTCTTAAAAATTTTATTTCAATTTCTCAAAAAAATTAATTATTTAAAAAAATATTTTTTTAAAATTCTTTGGAAGAATTTAATTATTAAAAAAATATAGAAACTTTTCACAGGAATTCAATTATTTTCAAATATTTTAATAAAATTGTTCAAAAGAAATCAATTATTTTAAATAGGTACAATTTTAATTAAATTTTTTTTAAATTAATTAATCTTTTAGGTTTTAATTAAATTTTCTTCCAGGAATATTCAATTATGTACATAAATAATTCTTCGAAAAATTCAATTATGACGATAAATAACAAAATATTACTCCTGAAAATTCAATTAACAACAATATCAACAATATTCATCACAAGAATTCAATTATTTTTTTAAGTAATAAATTTCTTCTGGGAAATTCAATTATTTTCATAAAATAATAAAATGCTTTTTAGAAATTCAATTATTTTCAAAAAAAATTTAATAAAATACCACACATTCGATCAATAATTATTGTCAAAAATTTTAATAAAATTTTTTGTAAAATTGAATTATTTTTAAAAACTTTTTGCAATTCAATGATTTTCAATATCTACTATTTTAATAAAATTTCCACACAGAATTCAATTATTTAAAAAAATTTTTGTAAATATCTTCGTAAGAATAATTCAACTCTTTTCATGAATAATAAAAATTTCTCAGGAATTTAATTACTTATATTAGAATTTGCATAAAATTAGTCGAAAGAAATCAATTATTTAAAAATTTTTATGAAATTCTTTGCAAGAATTAAATTATTTTTATAAATATTTAAAATCTTTCGTGAATATAATAAAATTCGTTGCAGGAATTCAATTTATTAGCATCAGGATAAGAAGGAAGTAAATATTTTTCAAGAAAATTAGGAAAAAGTCATGAAAATAAAATATAGAATGGAATTGTTTAGTTTTGTGAAGTGTGTCTAAAACGAGTTTTTTCGGTCATCAAGTTTAATGTTTTGATAGCTACTTTTTTACTGATTTTTTTTTTTAGTTTGAAAGGTACTTTTTGCTACTTTTTTAAAATTAATTATCGAGTGCGAAGTCTGCTATTGTGTATTATACAATATAGTGAAAATAGTGATTTATAACATCAATAAAGAAATATTTTCTGGTTTCGCGACCCAAAGATTGACTTCAAGCTATACTCTTATTTAATCTTTTCAAGTTTCGAACCCAATTTTACCTAATAAGTTTATAATGCACTCTATACTAACGAACAGACATACAAGAAATCAACAGGTTGCAGAGTAGCATCTCCACAATTAATTTCCTCATTTTTGCAATATTAATTTGTGCTTTACAATTTCTTAATAAATAATTAATTATTAGAGGGGAAAAAATCTAAACCAACACTCCTCATCATCGTTTTCGCGGTGACGATTTTTTCCGCACTTCTTCTTTCTTCAAACGACGTGTGCAGCAAAAGCAATAGCAAAAGCAAGCAAAAGTCGATTAAAATAAAAGTCTCTCGCAAAAAGTGATGTGAAGATTGGTGCGAATACACATATATATATGTATACATAATGGTGTATATACACGTATACCATAGTGAATATAATGATGTACCTACAGGAGTATTATACGCGCACTCAAGAACCCCCCAAAGTCTTTTTTTTATGGTAACGAGGGGTTCTTCGTCGAATGAAATCTCTCATTGGTCCACCGCAACGAGACGTTTCTATATACGCCCTCCTCACTCATATTCCTTTCCCTTTTTTTTCCTACCCTCATGTTTGATTTTTTACATTGCACTAGACTTCACTTTTATATCGTAAAACTGCCTTTCACAACTATTAAACATCTTTACGCCACGGATATCAAGGAGAATGGACGAATTTCCCTTTTTTTTTCTTTGCAAAATATGTACACTCTTCCAAGAAAGAGGAACAA